CAATTTTTTATGAACAAAACCTTCTTTCATGAAGCCCACGCTGGTCGTGTGGCAGAGAAGTCCATTGCCATTTGACCACAATCTATGTACCAAAAGAGAGAACCTATGCCTGGAAAAGAAATCTATTAGTGCAACATGAAAAATATATTGAAATATATTTAAGATATTCAGATAAACAAAGGAATGCAGAAGGAAGAGGTGACTCTGCCAGCATGTCCTGGGCCAATGAGGCACACAACTTTAGCCACATACTGTGGTTGGGGGTCCCCTCCATAGCCCCAACACCCACCTACTCAATGTGACATCCCCTTTGGGATCCTTGGGTGTCAAGTCACCGTAACCCACTCCTACAGCATTCCCTGAATATGAATTTCTAATAGCAGGGGTGGTGCAGGCCTCAATCCATTCCATTTGTTGAGGCAGATCCCATTCCTCCTTGTCCCTTTAGGCTGTTCTGCCACTTCATCCAGAGCTCAGTAAAGCAAGGTGTGTAGGAAAAGGTAGTGACAATGACAGATACAGAAAACATCTTCTTATTTCCGTCCTCAAGTGGCTCAGGGCCACTCCCATGGTATCCTGCTTTTCGCTTTCTTTTTTCTTTTTCTTTTAATATTTTTTTAGTTGTAGATGGACATGATACATTTCTTTCTTATATATTTATTTTTATGTGGTGCTGAGGAATGAACCCACTCTGCCACTGAGCCACAATCCCAGCCCTCCTTTTTTTTCTTTTTAAAAATTTCATCATTTTGGTGGTACTGGGGATTGAACCCAGTGGGCCTATACCACTGAACTACATCCCCATCCCATTTTTATTTTTTTATTTTGACACACATCTCTTTAAGTTGCTTAGGGCCTCTCTAATTTGCTGAGGCTGGCCTCTAACTTGCTCTCTTCCTGCCTCAGCCTCCTGCATCTCTGGGATTACACAGATGCACCACTGTGCCCAGCACTTGTGTATTTCTTGTTAAATCCAACTCAGGGTCATCCCTTATATTTTGTACATGAATACAAACATCACTCAGTATGGAATGATTTACACACATGATGAGCTAAGCTCTCTCCAAAACACCTTATATATTTAGTTGTTGTTGTTGTTGTTTTTTTTTTCCATGTGGGATGTAGAGAAATCAGATTGGGAATACAGGAAAGAGTTTGGACTTTCCAATTTCAAAGATCTACTTTTTTAATTGCTTGTTGCCGCAGTCTGGCTGGGCACAAATCACGAGCCACTGAAGCAGGAACAAACTTTATTTTTGAACTGCAGGAAAACACTTCACACAGCTCCCGGGGAATCCTCCCGAACACCACGCAGCTAGTCCAGGAACCCCCAGCCGGAAATATCTCTCCCAGAAATCCCTCCTCCTGCACTTCCCCAACCAATGGGAACTCTCGGGGAATCCCCGGAAATCCCCACGAGAACTCCAAAATAGTGCGAGAACTCAAAAGTTGCAGCAAAGGCGGATAGTAATGCCTCGCCTGTCAATCAATACTGTTGGCAAAATGCCAGGGGCCATACAGACTCCGCCGTGGCTCTCAGCAGCTTGTCAAGAAAATTGAAAAAGCTCCATCCAGTATACTGCTGTCCCTAAGAGACTGTCAATCTTCCAGCCTCATCAGTATGACTCTACAATGTAGCTAATTTTTTTTGTGTGTGTGTGGGGGAAGTACCAGGAATTGAACTCAGGGGTACTCAGCCACTGAGCCACATCCCCAGCCCTATTTTGTATTTATTTAATGAGAGGGTCTCACTGAGTTGCTTAGAGCCTCGCTTTTGCTGAGGCTGGCTTTGAACTCACGATACTCCAGTCTCAGCCTCAGAGCCACTGTGATTACAGATGTGCGCTGCCATGCCTGGCCAATGTAGCTGATTTTAAAGAGAATGAAAAGGGCTGTTTTATCTTAAACTTGGGGCCCAGAGACAACTTCCTGGTGGAGGCTACAGCTGAGAAGTGTAAAGAATTCCTAGATGAGGATGGGAAGAAGGGCTTTGCAAATGTGGGACCCAAGGAGAATCAGGTAGAGAGAAGGGCCCAGTTCACTCAGAACTGCTAGTCCAGATGGGTCAGGGGGGGATATGGAATGAAAGATGGGAGAAATTGCTTAGTGTCTTTAGAAATCTCTCTTGCCTTGCAGCACAAACCTGCAATGCCAACTACTCGGCGGAGGTTGAGGCAGGGAGATTGCAAGTCAGAACCCAGCCTGGGCAATTCAGGGAGACCTTGTCCCCAAATACAAAGGGCTGGAGATGTAGCTCAGGGCTAGAGTGCCCCTGGCTCCACTCCTTGTCTGGACTTAATTTTGAAACTTGCTCTAACTGTCTCTTGAACATATACACCTTTTAAAATTCAAATTTCCTGAATTAGAACACAAATTCCAGAATAACAGAGTATGACATTTGCTTTTCTTTCTAGAAGAGTCTATTCTTATTCTGGAGAGACCTACTGTAGGGCAGCCATACCCAAATTTGGAATTAGATTACAAACAGATTACAATTAAAACTCACTAGTCTTCTGCCCCTGGTGCACCTGGGCTGTGCTCTGAACACAGAGGCCTCCACTTTTTTTAAATTTTTTTTATATTGGGGGGTTGAACCCAGAGAGGCATAACCACTGAGCCATATCCCCAGCCCTTTTTAAAATATTTCATTTAGAAATAGGGTCTCACTGAGTTACTTAGGGCCTCACTAAACTGCTGAGGCTGGCTTTGAACTCACAATCCTCCTGCCTCAGCCTCTTAGCTGCTGGGACTACAGGCATGCACCACTGCACCCAACCCAGAGGCCTCCAATTATAAGGCTCTAGGCCTGGGGATAGAGTGTAGGAATAAAGAAGAGGATTTGTTGAGCAGACCCCAACCCCCTTCATCTTAAGGGACCTAGCACATTTTGCTGGGGGACTTAGGAGTTTTGCATCAGGTAATTGCATGTTAATTTCTCAACAATTTGCTAGCAAAGCTCAAAATGTTTCAATAGATTGCATCCACATGTTCTCAGGGACAAGTGAATTGTGTTTCAACTTGGAGAGGTGGAGAAAGGAGCTTACTGTCAGCACCATCTAGGTCATTATCTCCCCACTGCCAATACCAACAGCTTCTGTTGACACTGGGGGGAAGGAAGGTTTCTATTGGTTTTAAGAGAGAAATCCTTACCATTCTCTGATGTCAAAAAAGTATTCAAAATTCAAAAGTGCCTGTTCTGCAGTGGTTAGGAATAATCACCCTGTGAGCAGCTACTAAATTCCAGCAAAGACAGCATCATGGATAAGATTATATTAATGCTTTTGATTTCATTCCCTCATAGCTTCCTTTGTGGTTCAGTGTTGAGTCTGTCTGTTTTACAGTTGTTTTATAAGAGTTTTAATTCTGAGGAGTGTAAATTTCCATCAAGGTTGGTAAACACTAGAGGATCGCATCAGCAGCTAGTAATCCCATCAGCAGGTCTGAGGGGTATAGATCAGTGGTAGAGTATCTGACTGCATGTATGAGGCCTGGATCTAATCCCCAGCACTGAGGCGGGGAGGGGGAGAGGGAGAGAGGGGGGGGAGGGGGAGAGGGAGAGAGTGAGAGAGGGGGAGAGAGAGAGAGAGAGAGAGAGAGAGAGAGAGAGAGAGAGAGAGAGAGAGCTCCACTATTCAGAAACAAAATATGTATCCCAAAGGCATGTCCTAGTGACCCATCTCCTACAGCCACACCCCACCTGCCTGCCTCCAGTTACCATGGTTAATCCCCATTAGGGGATTGATTCACTGATTGGGTTAAGGCTTTCCTAACCCAACCATTTTTCTGCTGAACCTTCTTGCGTTGTCTCACACATGAGCTTTTGGGGGACCCTCACATCCAAACTATAACAGCATTTCTCTCTTGACAGGTCTGATATTTTTCTTCTCTGGTTACTTATTGGTTCCCTGTTTTCCACCCTCTTCATGGATCTCTCTTCCTCTCAGTTCTGCCAGCCCTTCCCTCATCAGCAGTCCACCTTTCTGGTCTGGATGTCGTCGTTAAGCAATTGGGAATTCCGAAAACAGCCCTGCTTTCACTGCTGTGGTATCACGGATAATTCATTATTTGATGTGTGTGGAGTTATAATCATAAAAAGCCAATTTCCTGGGTGATTCATTGTCATGGGGGCAGGATGGAGGTTGTTTACCATTTTAAGAGTCAGTCCTGGGAATGGATTAAAACTTCTGGGAGAATTTATGGCCAAACCTCAAGGGACACTAATTCAGCCAGGCGATGTTCTACTTGGATAAATACTGATATCTTCTGACCACCTGGGTTGAACTTCCTCTGTTCTGCCCACAGTAAGAAATCACCCATAAGTGTCAGTACTTACAATTATCTCATCTTTGTCTTGTATTTGATTGGGGTGTTGCAGGTCATCGATGGGTGTTCTTATTCTAACCTTTTCACAAAATGCATTGGAAGTCTCTTACCAGGTTATGGGTAGGTAAATGTCAGCTGTTGATTTTATGGAATGAGCACTGTGCTGGTTGTGAGAAGTCTTGGGTCTGGTTCCAGCTCCTTCATTAATAGCCTGAGAGACCTTGGACAGACCTTTTTCTCCTCAGCCTCAGTTTTCTTATCTCTCAAACTAGGGGGTTGGACCAAGTGCACCTTCACTGTCAACCATCGCTCACAATCCACAAAGACACACCAGAACTGGGCTCTACGAATGTGTTCAGGTTCTTTCTGTCCTTCCTCAGGGGTCTGTGAACTCTGGGAGAAAGGCAGAGATGGGTGTTACTTTCTTTGATGCTGTGTTTCCTCAACTCTTTTATTTTTATTTTTTTAGTTGTTGATAGATCTTTATTTATTTATACGTGGTGCTCAGAATCTAACCCAGTGCCTCACACATGCCAGGCATGTGCTCTACCACTGAACCACAGCCACAGCCCCTTCTCAACTCTTAATTTTGAAGGAACTCTCCACCCTCTACCCTTCTTTCTTTCAGACTGAGTGAATGAAGAGTGCCTGAGAGGCAGAGAGTCGCATTCCCTAAGATGGAAAAGACAGATGGTAGGCAGGGGGTTTTCTATTCCCTTGTTTAAAGGGACACTTGGGTTGGAATGGGATAGTTACCATAAATCCTGCAAATAGCCTATGGGAGGCCTGTAGGAGACGTTCCCTAACAGGCAGTGTAGGGAAGCCCAAATCATGTATTTCAGGTGTGAACTACAGAAGAATAGAGAATGAAAATGAAATCATAAAATACAAAATATTGGACCTGTGTAATTTTCAGAGCATCTTCTCATCTCATCCAAGCATCAGGAAGGGAGCAGTATACCCTCCTTCATTACCTTTCTTTTATAGATGGGGAATTTGAAGTCAAGAGGCATGTGGCAAAAGTGTCTCCATTCACAGCTTTGTGACTCTACAAGTCATTTAATGTCTCTGAGCCTCAGTCCCCTTGTAGGTGAGGTAGCTTTGCCACTTAGTGAACCACTAAAATTTTTGTGATTTAAAGCCAGTTGTTGTCAAAAGATTCTTTGGGTTGGCAGGCTTGTTATCCTGATCTGAGCTGCCTAGGCCCATTCACATGGTCCTCTGGGTGGCTTGGCTGGGTTGGACAGTTTGGAATGGCCTCATTCACATGTCTGATGGTTGAGCATGTCACCTGGGCTGTCAGTGATGGTTGGTGTTGGCCGGCTTGCTCAACTGTTGCTCATCATCCAGGAAGCTAGCTGGAGCCCATTCACACATGGTGGCAGAAGTGTTCAAACACAACAAGAAGAGACAGATCTCAATGTACAACCAATGCTCATCTCTGTGTATGCCTCATTTGCCACTGCCCTCCTGGCCAATGCCAGCCACAGGCTCACCCTGTGGTCAGGGTAGTTGTTGGGTAGTACCAAGGCTGGGGTAATATTGTGGCTGTTTCTGCAAACTGTCTACCATACCCCCTAGATAAACAGGTATGAATACTATTTCCTAGGATTGGTAAAGAACTGAATGTGCTAATGCATGTAAAGTTGTTGAATAACAACTATCAAGCACAGTGGATGTCTCCATAAATATTTCCCTCTTCCCCTCCTAAGAAACTTGCTGAAGGTCATAGTCTGGACCCTGATCTTTTGACTTCGGATGAAATTCTTTTTCCAGATCACCCGGTGTTAGAAATAGGAGAGCCTGTAATCCCCGTTGCATCACATGCCCCTTTTTGGCCCAGGACTTAGGGAGCAGACATCAGCTGCAGCCCTGCCTGTTGCCTTTTTCCAGATGCATTGCCATATATTTCAAGGGCCTACCTTTCTCCCCAGAGAGCTGTCTTTGCGGTGCATCACTGGAAGTGGTCCCAGAGAGCACCAGCTAACACCTTAGCGCCTGGGGGCCTGTCGTCCTGCCACCTGGCCTCGTTGTTCCCTGCTCAGCATCCTCAGCATCACCATTTCCACAGGATTACCCACAGCAGCTCCCAAGAGGTGCCCCTCCCTGCATGCACAGCGTCTCAGAGTAAAGGCCAAGCAGGAAAGCCTCCCTGGCTGTCTTGGCCTTTTGAAGAGGCTGACTTAATTCCTGTTCTTTCTGGCTTTATTTTTAGCCATTTTTCTCTCCTGTTTCTGTTTTTCCCATTTCCTCCAGACACTGATTACAGACTTTTGAATGTTTCTTTCTCACTTTCAGTGACTCTAATTGGTTTAGTCACCTGCTGAACTTTCTTTTGTCCCTCCAGATGATTCTGTGGTACTCCCTCCTTACCTTGTCCCTTCCCAGCCCTCTTCCTCCCATCTGTGTGTGACTCTGAGGCTGATGGCTGTGTTTTAGGTCCTTCCAAGGCATCTACTCCTTGGCTTTGCTTTCAGAAAAAGACAGTTCCTGATAGCTTCGAGCCTCCTGTATCTTACTTTTTTCTTTTTCCCCAAACTTATTTTTCCTTTTTCTCCAGAATTATTTCCTTGGGCTCTCATTCCCTCCTGAGGCTGTAGTCCTCACAGAGTTAGGGAGAGAATCTTTAGCAAATCCTCCCCCACCTATTCAGAGCCAAGCCCCCCCCATCCCTGCCACTCCACCACCTTTAGAATGCTCATTGATTACCTACTCTGTGCCATGAGCCTTAATATTGCAACAACTCTAAGAATTATTATCTCCTCTTTATATATGGATAAATTGAGGCATAGAGAAATGAAATACTTTGCCTAGAGTCTCACAGGTAGGAGATGACAGCCAGAATTCAAATCCAGCCAGCCTAGCTATGCTCGGCTTATCTGATCCAAATGTCATTTGCAGTACAGACAGTTCTCCTAATTAATTCTTGTCCTGGCCCCATGCCTGGAATTGTGAGCTCCTGCATACCTGTCACCAGGTAGAATTAACAGGAGTGGAGCATGTGGTGAGGCTGGGTCTCCCTGCCTATCAGCTCAAGCTCCATCATGGAGGTCCAACATTCTGCCTGCACTGGGAAAAAGAAAAGGGCTGAAGAGTGGCAAGTGGCAGACAGGGCAGCGTGATGGATCACGAGTGAGACTATGTGTGTGCGTGTGCACACGCGCACATGCGTGCACACGCATGCATGCACATGAGGATGGGTTTAAGAAAGTACCTATTAACCCTCTCATCCATGATAACTGCTTACTCTCTGTCTCCTTTGGTTCCCCTTGCCTCCCTGTGGAAGATTCTGCCTCTGAACCTGCTGTTTCTTACTTGATGTTATTATTGCATTTGTGTTCTGAACCTGCTCCCAGAGGCCTCTGGGAAAATCAGTGCAGAGGCAATAAAGGTAAATAATGCAGACTCTCCTTTAGGAGAGGTCTTTGCTTTCTGGGTCATAAATCTGCTTTCCACTTGAGACAAATGTCTCCTCTCTGATTTGTCCTGTCCTTGTACTCCAGGAGGCTTCTGAGTGAACCAAAGGACTTAAGAATATAGCTGAGTGTAATTGGAAACATTGTTCTCATTTACTGAAGCAGCCAGCCTGCTGCTTTGGGGTGGAAGGGAGATATAGTTGGTATAAGAAAAACTATGTGGGTGAATGGGAAGTGATAGGGAGTTTTTGGGGAATGCTAGAAGAGTGTTCGCTCCTTATCTATCTGGAGGCCAGTCACCTGCTACAAAAGTTCTAAAACCCAATAGGAACCTTGGTGTAGATCAGCAGCAACACAATCCTGTTCCCTACCGTGCTGTGCTTGTGACATAGTTGCCCACAGGCCTGTGGCTCTGCTCAGTAATGATGGCTGGCAGGCTCTGTTGTGTCCATGTTCACGAGTTCAGTCTTCATATGTCTAGTTGGCTTTGTCTCATTTTTTGGAGGCAACTATACTTCCCTAAGCACAGAGAGCCACCTGGCCCACATGTGGCATTAGCCAGAAGAAGCAGCTATCAGGCAGGCACATGGGAAGAGCTCAGTCCTAATATATCACCATCCTCAGGGAAAATCAAGCCCCAGTGTGCCCCAGGTAGCACCATCATTTGCACATTTTTTCATCTTGTCCCTTTCCCTCCATTACCTTTAGTTTCTTTGACCTTGACCACATCAGCAGTATCCCAGCTGGTCCTTAGTTTTATCCTTCTTCCAGTTCTCTGAGAGGGCTTGGGGTGTCACTCAGGGGCAGAGTATTTTCCTAGCATGCACAAGGTCATAGGTTCAACTCCTAGCAGCACAGAATAATAATAATAACAGTCCTCTGCAAGATGCTCCTTTTGAAATCACACCTGACTTAGTCTCCTCCTTGTTTAATCTTTCTTGGGATGCTGGGGAATGAATCCTAGGCCTCATGCATGCTGAGCTCACACTCTACTACTGAGCTAAGTCCAGCCTCCCACTCCCTTGTTTAAAACCCTTAGTGACTCCTGTTACCTAGAGAATAAGATCAAAACTTATTGGCATGTATGTAGGTTGCTCTATGACCTGGTGCTTGCTTACCTTTTCAATTTACTTTTTCTGCTCTTTGTTCTTCTCTTCCACACTTTAGGTTCTGGCCATATGAGCTGCATTTACAGAGCCCTGGCACACAATGCAATTCCATGTCTCATGTCTTTGCACATTCTGGTGTCTATCTAGAATATCTGTCCTGGCTATCTATTGGAGGATAACAACCACCCCCCCCGAAACTTGGTGGTTTACCACCATAATTTAATATTGATGCAGATTCAACTGAGTCCTCCTCACTTGGGGCCCTTCCTGTAGTTGAAGTTGGATGACAGCTAGTGAATTTTATTTATGTGTGTTTATTTATTTAGCAGTACTGGGGACTGAACCCAGTCACACTTTATCACTGATATTTAGCCTCAGCCCTCTTTACACTTTTATTTTGAGATGGGGTCTTGCTGAGTTGCTGAGGTTTGAACTTCCAGTCCTCCTGCCTCAGCCTCCTGAGTCACTGAGATTACAAGCCTGTGTCATCTGTGCCCAGCTGAGTTGGTGACTGTTTTTCTCCTGCCTAACCCTGGGGCGAGGATGGCTGGAATCATTGAGGGCTGGGGAGACATCACTCTTCCTTTCTCTGCAGGACCCTTCTCCCTCTGTGGGCTTCCTCACCAGACAAAAGCCTAAGGGAAGTTGGACTTACATGGCAGCCAACTTCCCACCAACTGGGCATCCTAAGAGACCCAGCATAGAATTCTCTCAGCATCATTTCTGCCATATTCTTTTGGTCAAAGCAGTCCCAGATCAGCCCAGATCCAAAGGCATGGAGAAACAGACTCCACCTCTCAATGTGGAATTTGCTTGCTTGTCTAAAGAGGGTAGGAATTGATGGTACCATCTGGAGATAAACTGGTATAATGTCTTTCACCCTCCTCTTCTCCTGATAAATTCCTGTTTGTTCATTTAACACCCAGTCCTATGTCACTTTTGTGATTTCTACTCTCTCTTACCAAGGCAAAATTAGCTTCCATGTTTAAGAAAATTGTTTTTAGAGAAACTGGAAAAATAAGTCAGAGAAGACTGTACCTTGAGCCTGATTTGGACCCCTTACCCTGCTGTACTGCATGTGTGGCAGTACTCCTACTGGATCACATCAATCCTTGGAGGGCAGGGCAGCTATACCTGACTCATCTTCATGCTCTTGAGACCTAGCTTAGCAACTGACCCATGGGAGCTGAATAAATTGTGGCTGAGGGAAGTGAACTGAATTACTGCTGCTTTGTTGCTATGCTGTTTTTCCACCCAGGGGCCCCCTCCCCTTAGAGCCAAGGAATCGGTCACAAAGAACTTGTAGACCCAGAATATGCAACAGTGAATCACAGGAGTTGATTTCCATCCTGGAGCCTCAGTTCTCAATATTTTTGTCTTCCACAAAGATAATCACTACTGAGCAGGTATCAGGTGTTTATTATGTGCTAGGCATTGCGTCAGGCACCTAATATTCATTATTAATTAATTAGGTCTCATAATAATGCTATATTACCTATTATTTATCCCACTTTACAGATGATGAGATGCAGCAAGGCTAGGAGCAGAGAAATAGATGGAGCTCCAGAATCTGTATTCTGAACTTCTTTTGAGCTCAGCATTTTCAGAATATGCTCAGCAGAATGTCAGAGGTAATAGTATCACATGAGGAATGCTGGAAGAACCTGGTCTTCTTCTGACCAGAAGAGGATGCCTGGAGAGAAGTCCCTAGGGACTCCAACAGTTGAAGGACTGACTTGTTCTTAGAGGCCTCTGTGGGGGCCAGTAGGTCGATGCTGCAAGGAGCCCAATGGCACCTTGGTGTAAAGTTCCCCATAGCATCCCCCATAGTTCAGGGTGCCTTAAAAGCCACAGGATCCACAGGGTCCATATCTCTTGGAGAATATTGGCCTGTGTCCCTTTTGACATTTGTTGGCCTTTCTCCCTCCCTGCCTTTTTTCCAACCTATGAAAAATGTATTCCCTTACGGGCATGGTGTTTGAAAGTGGAATTCAGCTACGCATGATCACTTGTTAAGCACTAAGCAGTTTTCAGGGGGAAAGAGCATTAGCTATGCAGGCTCACTTGTTCCAGTTCTCTCTGATCTTCTTGTAACTGGAGGCTCAGGCATGGGAGGAAGCTTCAATAATGTAGAGGGCGCAACTCCTTGATGCCTCCAGTGTAGCAAGATTTACTAGTTCCCATTTGAGTAATGCAAGTTTCTTTTTTATGCTGAGTAAATTGTATATCTCATCTTTCAAAACCTTCCATATCCATAATTGCCAATTAGTCCCCCTGATGTGCCAGTTCCTGGCCACTTCATTTCAATGGTTACATGACTCCAACTGGGAAAAAAAGTATGAGATAATGTCATTTCGCTGGTCTGCAGGCAGATTCCACACCAGCATCTGAGATGACATACTGCAAATTAGAAATCATTCCCTCTACCTGTTCCCTTGCAGGCACTGGCTAAATACACATTGCTTTAATAAGATGGTTTCCCAGTACAGCCAAAAGGACTGTGAGCTTCTCAGCACAATTTAGAGGTTAGAACATCTGGGAGAAATCTCACGTGACATTGTCAAGTTGAAATCACAGATATTAAGTTTCATCACCCTTTAAATTTTGTTAACTCCTCCTCCTCCTCCTCCTCCTCCTCCTCCTCCTCTTCCTCCTCCCTCTCAGCTAAAGACCAGATCTCTCCGGGTAATGAAGAGAAAGACCCTCCAAGGAGCCACCCGTACTCTGTGGAGATCCCATATGACTTTCACTTGGCCCTGGACTTCCTCAAGTATGTAGATGACCTTGAGAAAGGGAACACCATCAAAAGGATTCCTATCCACAGAAGAGCCAAGCAGGCCAAGTTTAGCACGTTGCCCCGCAATTTCAGCCTTCCTGACAGTGGGGTTCGCCCCCATGTTACTATCCCCCAGCAAAACTGGTCTCCCGCAGTGCCAAGGAAGGTGTCACTGAGGACCCAGGAGCAAACCCAGTCACTGCTGCTAGGTGATCCTCCCCACGCCTCAGCCAGCGGGAGCCAGGTGAGCTATCATAGGAAGGCCCTATTGGTGGAGGCCTCCAGGCAGCTGGAGGCTGCTGCTCCAGAGGAAGCCGAGCTCACTTCTGGGAGTGGATGGCCCCAGCTTTTGAGAGCTCCAGCATGCCAGCCACGCTGCCCCAAAACAGGGCCTCGGAGGGGCCAAACCTAAGCTCAGGTCTTCCAGCACCTCCTGCCTTCCCTCCTCTGCAGGGGGACGGCAGCGTCTGGAATGCCAGGATTTGCAGGTGGAAGGATTTGCAGGTTTTCACAGCTCCAGCCCTCTAGCAACCACCCATCTGACAGCGATTTGGGAGACCTGGTGGCAGGGCTCCCAGAGTTAGTCCAGGAGGGGGCTGAGCCTGCAGTGGGGGAAGTGAAGGCTCCAAATCACATGTTTCTCCCAGGGCCTCCTCCCGCATTCCAAAATGCACTCCTAGAGGGTGCGGAAGGCTAACCCCAAACCAGAGAAGCAGGGGGGGGGGGCGGTTCTCACACCTGGCTCCTCAACACCCAGCCCCCCACCTCTGCCATCTCCCATCCCTGAGAATGAGCTCCCTCTGGAGGAAGTCGAGCTCAACATCAGTGAGATCCCACCCCCGCCGCCCATAGAGTTGGATGTGAGAAGCATCGGCATCCGGGTAACTGAGGAAAGCCTGGACCTTGCCCTGGTGGACCCCAACAGCATCTCCACCCTGAAGGAGCGGGTCTCAGCCCTTGAGGGTGAATTGTCTGGCAGAACCAAGGATCTGACCCAGGTCCGAGCTGCCCTTCAGCAGCAGGAAGAGGAAATCAAGACGCGGGAACAGAGGATTCGAGAGCTAGAGTGCACTGTAGCCCAATTGGAAGAAAAGCTTAGCCAAGAGACGTCCAGAGATGCCCAGGGCCAGGCTGATGCCATGGTGAACACTGACCCTCCCCGTGGGCTCTTCCCAGGGGAGTCATGTGACAAGAGCATCGGGGTCAACCTTCTGAGCATCACAGACTCTGAAAGCTGGGGGCCGGGGGAGAGGAGAATGGCTTCCTATGGGGGCAAAATGGTCACACTCGAACGGGTCAGAGACTGACAGAGCCTGTGCTACCGCCCCAGCTCTCACTGCCACAGGGACCTGAGAAGGTCCTTGCCTCCCCTTTACATTGCTGCCTCCCCACTGAACTCAGGATTGAAGAAGCAGGCTCTGAGCACGAGGGAGGCCTGCAGGCAGGAGGCGAGAGCCTGGCCAGGGCAGCACAAGGTTCTTCACGGAGCAGTGACAGAGAGGCTGCCCCAGGGTCCAGGGAGGAGCTCCCAGGGAAGGAGCACCCGGGAAGGCCACCAAGCTCTCCAACAGATGCCACCATTGGGCAATATGTGAAAAAGATCCAGGAGCTCCTGCAGGAGCAGTGGAGCTGCCTGGAGCATGGGTACCCGGAGCTGGCCAGCGCCATCAAGCAGCCTGCCTCCAAGCTCAGCAGCATCCAGAGCCAGCTGCTGAGCTCCCTCAACCAGCTGCTGTCTGCCTACTCAGCCCAGGCTCCCCCACAGGAGCCTGCAGCCCCGCCCTCCTCCCCTCCAACCGGTAAATACTGGTGCCCAAGGCAGGGAACCTTTTCTCCTTTATATGACAAATCCAAGGGAAAGGGGGTTTTGGTTACATGAGTAGATTTCTAAAAAGATTTTAGCACCTTCAGGAGCCTAGTGGAATAAAAACTGACCTGTGTAAGCATGGGGTCCGCACCTCTACTCTCCTTGTGTAGGTGTGAGTCTGACTGCAGGGCCACCACATTCAGCTGTACAGATAGTGTCAGCCACAAAGATGCCAGCCAGGGAGGGCAAATAGGAGCTGAAATCCAGCCCATGCTCCCTTTGCCAAACCATGTGCCTGCAGCACTGGGTCTACCCAGAGGGGGCGCTGTTCTCATTTCATCGCACAAAGGCAAAGTCTTGGCCAAGGGTGGTCCTGCCCTGGGTGCTCCCCTCAGCCTCCCTGCCAGTTTACTGGGTTCCAGCATTCCTGCTGGAACAGGAAAAACCCTTTCTGGCCCTCCCACATCAGAGGTTTTCTCTAGCCTGGTTTTGGATGAGCATTATATAGAGATTGGGAATTGTTCACTGAGTATTTTCTGTGCGCATGCATGGGGGCAGGGGCTCACATGGGCCAGAGCAGCTCCTCCTCTTCTGACCGATCTCACACTCTTCACTGTTGAGGAGAGTGGAGCCATTACCATGCTTGGCTCAGTGGGCAGCATGCAAGTCTGCTTCCTGCCACAGGTCACAGGTTGGCTGCCTTCTCATTTTGGCGCTAGTTTCCATCTTGTCCCTTGGGAAATGCCTCCCATACCACTGAGCACAGCATGAGGTTGTGCCCTTCTCACATGTCTCCAGTGTCATCACTACCCCCACATCACAAGTGTCAATGTGCACATGAACTAGAAAGGACTTCTGAGATGCCCTTGAGTGGAGAAGGGTGCTGGCCCAAGAGTCCATAGACCTAAGTTGTATTCCTGCTCTGCCATTCCCCAAGGAATCCTGAGTCTCAGATTTCCTAGCCATAAGATAGGGACAACAATGACATGTGCCCATGTGGTTCCCTGGGAGAATGTTCCAGTCTCTCTACTCATCCATATAGAGAGGGGCATCATTAACAGGAACCATTCTATTGACAGCCACCAGAAAGCCAGACTTCTGCCCAAAGTCCTCAAAACATTTGATTTGAATTATCTGGTTTCTGTCCCTGTCCACCTTTTCACACACCTGTAACCTGTATCCCCTTAAAGGAAAAGCCCTGCTTTTGCTTCTCCAAGATCTTTCTAACCTGTGATATTGTATCTACCTAGAGAGCTCCCCGCCGACCAGCCTTAAATCCACAATGAAAAAGAAAGACTATGACTTCCATGCAGGAGGTAATGGGACCAAAAAGAACCTTCAGTTTGTTGGGGTTAACAGTGGGTAAGCATCGCTTGTGAAGCTCCGACTGCCTTCCCTGCTACCTCTCCTGCTGTTGTCCTCGGTGCTCTCTTTTCTAGGGGGAAGCATCTGGTTTTTGTTCTTCTGCAAGGGAATTAATCTCCAAGGTCCTTTAAAACTCCATGTTGGGTTTGCACATGTTTGGCTCTTTGCCAGATGTGCTGGTTTGTTGGAACCTCTGCTTTTAACATACTTGGCTTTGGTCTCCCCCAGGGCCAGGACTCTGGGTGGTTTCTGGGAGTTTGGGGGAACATGGACCCTTTGAGGAAGGTCTTTAACCCAAACCATGACACTGAAACTAGTAAAATTGTATGTGTTTAAAATGTTTCTCCTTTAATTACTGCAAACCAAACCCAGGTTTTGGGCAATGAAGGGAAACAACCAATCTATTGATAAAGCACATGAACCAAGCCTTCTGTAGTCTAGGGACTTAAACATTGGATTTAGAATATAGTCATGCAGCTGGGAACAGTGGCACATGCCTCTAATCCCAACAACTCATGAGGCTGAGGCATCAGGATTGCAAGTTTGAGGCCAGCCTCCGCTTCTTAGTGAGACCCTGTCTTAAAGAAAAGATTTTTTTAAAAGGACCTGGGATGTAGCTCAGTGTTAAAACGCCCTGGGGTTCATTCCCCAGTGCCAAAAAGAAAGAAAGAAAGAAAGAAAATTACAGTCACATGTCACCTAACAACCAGGGATACCTCTAAGAAATGCAGCATTAGGCAATTTTTGTCACTATGGGACACCACAAAGTACTTACAAAAGTCAAAACATCTATGATGTCACTAAGCACATGACTATATTTTCTAAATCGCTCATTCAGCATTTATTAAATGCCAATGATATGCTAGGTGGTGGGTATTAAAAAAAAAAGTCAAATAGATCAAGGTCCCTACCTTTAGCTCTCAGATACGTCAAGAAACAAGGGAGAAATGCTGACGTGCCAAGACCAGTTGTATTAGTCAAGGAAGCACAGGATGCTGTGGAAGCCCAAGGAGGGGTCTAGCCCAGCTGGCGGTATGTCTGGAAGACTGCCCAGAAAAAGTGGGGATCCTGCAAACTTAAGTCCCACAAAACACTAGACATAAACAGGGGTGGCATCATTGTTGTAGTTTCTGTGAAGGAAACGTCAGAAATGATGAAGCAGGTTGTCAGGTGGGCTGCTGCTCTCACTTCCTCTGGTGTGTGACCCTCTGGTCCATGAAGAACCATGTTTTGTGCTTTCACCAGTTCACATGCAGAGGAGGAGGATCAGCCTGATCTCCAAGCCTAATGCAGGTCACGCTGCTGCCCAGCTTAAATGCCCTTCACAGTCCCCCTCTGTGCCCAAACCTGGAGGAACTAGATCATGGCTCAGCTTCTCGTCCACCTCAGTTCCTGCCTCACCTCCCTCCAACATGCTGAGCTCAGGCCCATCTCAAGGCCCTGGTATTTGCTTCCCCTGCTTAGACTGAGCCCCTCCTGGGGTGCGGGAGCATAAATAATCCTGATCCCCATCCTGAAGACTCAGGTTTAATTAGTCTGGGAGACAGTCCACCTACTGGGAATGCTAACCCCCACCCCAAGTGTTCTAATGTGCAGCTGAGGTTAAGAACCCATGTCCTAATTGAAGCTGCTCTTCCTCCCATCACTAGCCCATGGCCCTTTTTAACTTTGTGCATTATTCTTATCACTTTCTGAATATAATATTTGTTGCATGTCTGTATCTGCCTCTCCCTACTAGCATATAAGCTCCCCTAAGGCAGGGGCTTTGATATAAGCACTTAGAACACTACCTAGCACATAGTAGGTGCTCAATAAATTTCTTCCAGGTAAAAATTTTATTTGAATTTGTTTTTGTTGTGTTTTGTTTCCTTTGTGGTGCTGGGGATCAAAACCCTGGAGCCTTGCACATCCTAAGCAAGTGCTCTACCACAGAGTGACACTTCTAGCCCTAGGTGAAGTTTTTATGGAAGCAATTCTAAGATGTACACAGCTTGGTAAACATAGTATGCCCCCCATTTCTTTATCACAAAAGAAAACTGTTATTCCAAACACAATGGAGAAGAAATATCTGAGAATTAAGCAAAATAGAATGCAGGCATACCAGGGAGCCTGCTGGGTTTGCAGATCCAGTGAGCACAGAGTTCTTATGTAGAAGCCACTGATGGAAAAAGACCTTAAGGGGTTCAGCAGCAACCATAGTCACTGATCCCTGTGGCTCTGTGGAGTGTCCTCAAAACCCAGATCTTAATACCAGCATCCTCTATTGGGATCTCCTGTTGAATATCGGCAGGGGAATCGGTAAATCGTCCAGTACTTTGCCCCTGGTCTCTGGTTGTGATAAGGCAATAGGATCGTTTATAGCTGAATGTAAGATTCACTGTCAGGAGTAAAGCCACAAGTCAAGTACCTGAGACCACACTTTTGCTGCTCCCAGTTGTAGTTCTAACAGGCTTCAGGTGAGAAAAGCAGGTGCGTGTTTGAGTATCTGAGTCCTGCTGGGAGCAGGTGCAGAGGAGCTCACCCCTTACCAGTCTCACCCTGGGATGGGGAGGAGAGAGCTGCAGGAGGTCTGCCCTCCACCCAGAGATGTGAAGACTTGTCAGGCAATTCAAGGAACTCAGGATGGAGGTGGGGATGCTAACCTAGACTTGGGCTCCTCTCTGGACCTAACATTAGGATTCCAGAAGCAAATGGCTCTGTGAGAACCTTGGATTGCCTGTCTGAATCACCAAATCATCAGCCAATTCAGGGATAGGGTGTTGGTGTGTTTGCTGCAAAGAGCAGAAATTAGCTTTTCTTCACAAATGGCATCCAGCACCAGAGCCTATTTCTCTGACTGTAGGGTTCCTGGGAGCTTCCTCATCCTGGCCTGCAGGATGTGCTTAGTAAACTGGGGAGTGTGACCTGAGACCTGCCTTGTTCTCCTTGGTGTTGACATAGCCCTGGGCAGGTAGGACAGGACGAGTGACCTCTTCTCCTTCTCCAGCTATGAGACCACTTCCAGCGAGGAGACCAGTGGTGAGGACAGCTCTCCAGAGGACTTGTCTGACAGCGAGGCTGAGAAGAAATGTGGTGGCCCAGAACACAGGCGGGGCCAAGATGCCACCAGCTGCGAGGCTGGCCAGGATGTCCCTGAGGGCACTGACAGCACAGGCCAGGAAAGCGGGTTTGGGGAAGAAGCCCCCCATCCCAAGGCTGAGAGGTGAGTCAGATGGGTGCAGAGGGGGCCGCCATTCCTCTGGTGAGGGGCAAGGGCATGCGCTCACCCTTCCATCCGGTCATTGGGTCATTTGTCGATCCACCCGTTGGGCAGAGTTTGTTGAGTTTTCTTCCAGGCTGGGCTCTGGGCAGTGGCTGAACTAAACAGACATGACTCCTGGAATATTCTGTCATAGGTAGAGCTCTGCGGATAAAGCCAACATTCACCTAGCACTGGAAATGTGATGGATGGACATGTATTATTTTATATAAGCCTTTTCACGATCCTGCAAGGCAGCCATCACTATGACCCCCACTTTACAGGTGTGGAGATGGAGGCTGAGGGAGGGAAGTGATGCTGCTAGCAGAGCAGTTTGGACCTGCTGGTTCTGACCCATACACTTCTCTGCCTCTCTTGTTGGCCAGGTGACACCACCCTGTAAAGTGATGGGAGGCACGTGATGTGACTGGGGGTGGGGGGTGGGAGAGAGAGAGAGAGAGAGAGAGAGAGAGAGAAAGAGAAAGAGAAGCAAGGTGGGGGAGAAGGAGAAAGGAGAGGGGGAGTCTTTCTTTTCCTGACTTGGAAAAGAAAGTGATCAGAGGCCATGCCTTTGGAGCTGACCACACCTTGATTCAAGAACTGCCCATGGTATTCTTTGGCAAGGTCCTTAAGCTGGGGTCACCTCCCTTTCCTTATCTGAAAAAAATGTGGATAATAGTGACCTCTTAGATTTGATCTGAGAATTGTGTGAGAAAAAGCACTTACGTGCCTCACACAGTTCCTGCCATGGAATGGGCTCCCGATGAGAGGAGCAATAGCTGTCAGGACCACCATCATCATCATCATCATCATCACCACCTGCAGCCTGCTGCTGGGGGAATGCTGAACAGCAACAGAGGCTGGTTAGTGAGCTGATGCACAGGGTGCTCTGTGTGGCAGCCCGATGAAACTGTGCTGAGCAAGCAGGCATGGTGGCGCACACCTGCAATCCCAGCTGTTTGGTAGGCTGAGGCAGGAGGATCTCAAGTTCCAGGTCAACCTGGGCAACTTAGTGAGACTCTGTCTTTCAAAATATAAAAAGGTCTGAGGTGGCAATTTGATGGTAGAGCGCCCCTGGGTTCTATTCCCAGTACTGCAAAAAATTAAAAATAAATAAAAGTGAGTGGGCTCTCGGGGACAGGTGCCATTAGAGCCCACTGAGGCCTGTGTGCATGTCGCTGTGGCACCCAGTGTCAGTGCTTCTCATTTTATGAACTCTTAGCCCTTGTGGTTCCTTCATGGAAGAAGGACCTGAGGAGATTTGCTGGTATGTGTTGGGCTCTTTGGATTTTTTTTTTTTTTCTTGTCAACCCAGGAAGAAAAATTTCATCCAAAGTCAGAACAGCAGCCCTCCAGTCCCCAGTGAGTCAGGCATTGTGTTGAGCCCACAGCCTCTGCAACTTGGTTTATCTGTTCCAACAAGAGCAGGATGCAAAGGCTCTTCAGAGCCACATCAGCAGGGTGCTCAGATCACCCCACACTTCTGAGGAATGTTCCCTATCCTGGGGGAGTTACCCGGTTTGGGTGTTTGAGTTGCTGAGAAGTGAAAGAGGAAAATGAGAGTCGTTTTTATCAATGTGGAGAATGATTACATAAATATGCTTTTGTGTGTGTGTATACATATATATACACATGTGTGTGTGTTTGTTTTCTTTAGATATAAACCCTCAGAAAAATTTCTTAACGCATGCAGAGCATTGAGCCAGTATCTGCCGGAGACTGGGACCACCACAGACCAGCTCTTGGTACTTTGATTTTTCATTGTCCTGTAAAGATTTCCCACCAGGGTGACTTTGGCCCCTTGCCTTATGCCATGGTGTGAATGTGCACACAGGTGTCCCTCTCCTCAGGGAATTCTGTCATTTACCCAAATGCTGCCACCCAAAATGATGGATTATGCTGAGGATGTGGAAGGATCAATCTGCATGAGAAAGTAAGTCAGGGGCTCAGAGGCATTTACCAAGGGAGATTAGGCATCACCACCTGAGTGTCTGTCACTAAAGTGTTTGTGGTTGAGGCTCAAACCTCTGCTCTGAGGTTGGGGAAATGTATGGGTGGAGTGGGAAGAGCTCGTGGAATGGGAACTGTGGGTTCTGGTCCCAGAACCTCACCTGTGAGGCAGGAAGTGGGTGAGGGCAAGGCTCAGAGCCTACCTCCTCATCAAGGGAACAGTGGTAGTGAGTGGTGTGTGTCCACCCCCTGAAGCTCTGACACTTAATTCCATAGTTATTACTGCTTTTCTTAAAGTGCACCTATGGGTCGAAAGACCAGAAATAAGAAAATCCATGTTTGCTCCTTTGTACCTTCGTGGCCCATGGAGATTTGAACATGTGATGATTGGGTCCTACTTTTAATCAAGAGCTACTGACATGGGCACATTTCCCACGGTAGGAGAGAGCTGTCAGAAACACAGCAGAAAAACCTGTAAGCGTTTTAAAACCTATTTTGCTCTCCTCTGCAGAAGAGCCCAAAGAGTAAAAATATCAATTCAGCAGAGTTTATTACTTAGTCAGACCATTTTTATTATTTTATTGTAGCTAATTTGGCATATGGCAGTTCCCAGACTTAAAGAAGCAGTGTGCGATGTGGATGTGAATTGAAACTCCTGTTTCTTGTTCTTAAACAAATTATGGAACTAAGTCTAACCTCTTCATTTAAAATCCACTGCTATGCTCCTTCCTTTGAGGGTCTTTCTCCAGATTTTCTTGAAGATTCCTTGGGTGAAGCAGATAATCCTCTCTAGGATCAAAAACAGAGAGAGAGAGAGAGAGAGAGAGAGAGAGAGAGAGAGAGAGAGAGAGAGATGGGGGTGGGGAGGATGGTGGAGGGAAAAGGAGAAAGGAGGCAGGGAGAGATTCTGATATGTACGTCTTTTGGCCACAAGTGATTTCTCTGTTCCTGACTTGGAAAACCAAGTGATCAGAGGCCATGTATGTGCAACCCCACAACCACACCCACATTAGGATCTGAGCATGGATGTCCCCCTGTGCTCCCTCCTTGCCCCTGCCTGAGAGACAACACAGGCTATGCAGAGACTTGGAAATAAGGAACACAGCCCATTTTTCCATTCCCAGTTTGTAATAGGGACAAGTAGTATTCAAAAAAGTTATATACTTCCAAGGTCGCAAGCTGAAACAGGACTCAAACCTAATCACATTGATTTAGTGACTCCAAACCCAGTGCTCTTTCCAGAATGAGCATGAAATCGTTCATGACAACCATACCCCAATAGCTTCCCCTCCCCTTTAGGTAAATAATCTAAACTTGTGTCATCTTAAGCCCTTAGGTCATGTTACATACAGAGTTGATGTCATCAACTTTGACACTCCTATGGTTCCAGGGGAGCCAGATGCTACAGAGAGCAGGGGACCTGTCATGGGTCGTTAAACTTTTCACTTTGGAGAGCCCAACAAAACTCATAGCCAAGAACAGGGCTGGAGGTGTAGCTCAGTGGTAGAGTGCTTGTCTAGAATGCACAAGGCCCTGGGATCAAGTCCTAGCACCACAAAAAAAGGAAAAGAAAGTCAAGAATAATTCAAGCCCACCTGTTTGGGTTTTATGTCCAGCATAAATTGCGTATGTTTGTCTTTGTTTGTGGCATGCCCTTTTCCCTTCTGTATAATGTTGTGACTTTCCTGCTATGCCTAGTATAAAAAGGCAAGAGCCCTCGTGCCATACGGGGTAAGTCAATGTAGACTGACAATGTGAGCATGAAAGAGAGTCTTAGTAATCCGGTGCACACAGGATATGACCTCAACTTATACTAGTTTCAGGTCATCACCTAGGAAAGGGAGTTGTTCCTGGTTATTGCAGTGTCATCCCAGAACTCCTTGCTACCTCACATGGAGGGTTGATCACAGGTCCCATGTGTTCCTGCATTCCCAACCTTGCTGTCTGTCAGTCCCCTACATAAATCCCCTGCAGGGATACAGGGAGATAAGGGATGGAGGCAGAAACATTCAAAGCTGACACGTCCTGGTGTCAAGTGGGACATCCTAGACCAGGGAACGTCTCAGAATTGGAATCTTTTGGGGTTTCAGAGGCAAAGCTTGAACACCATCAGTCAAGAGTGGTTCCATGTTTCCAGCTGGAAGTCATCTAGCCCTGCCATGGTGGCCGCCTACCTCGCTGGGGTCCAGACTCACTCCCCACATCTCCTGAAGCTGTTTGTCAACTTGGCTGATCATAACGGGAACACAGCCCTCCACTACAGCGTGTCCCACTCCAACTTCTCCATCATGAGGTGCTGCTGGAGGACACTGGTCAGAAATGGCTGCATCTGCAGTCTGGATCCCATTTTTTTTTTTAAAGAGGATCTCACTTTGTTACCTGGCTGGCCTCCAACTCCTAGGCTCAAGCAATCCTCCTCTCTCAGCCTCCTCTGTAGCTGAGGGCCATTCATGTACCATACCTCTTTCCAGCAAGAAAATTCTTCACTCCTCAGAGTTCCTTCTTTACTCCAGAAACTGGACTAGACCATGTTGCCTATATCATGTCATTCATTCACCACAATAGACTTATGATATTATTCTCAATTTGCAGGCTCAGAGAGTTCTAAAACTTACTCAGGTCACAGTGCTGATAAATGGTAGAGCAGATTCTAGATTTGGTCTATTCAACTTCAGAGCTCTACCACATTGCCTTAGGAAAGGTCACCATTTCTTGTCTTTCTAAGATAATTTTTAACAAAGATCTTGGCTCCATTTGACCAATTGGACTCTGTTATTGTTTGTGAGATAATTATTGATGACTTATGAGGTCCATCCTGGCTACAACCTGACATGCAAAAGAGCAGGGCAAGATGGCTCTGAAGAGAGATACAGAATGTGATTTAGGGATGCAGAAGAAGTGAGATACTATTCAATGCAGGAGTAGGAAAGGTGCCCTGAAGCAGATGGGGTTCCACAGGCAGAGAAGTGTTCCAGGTGAGGAGAGCACCAGAGAAGGTAAGAAAAGAAAAGACACCTGGAGGTCAGAATGGCTCCTGGTTTGGACAAGATGTGAACAAAAGTTGGGAAGGTAAGTTGGAGCCATTGGCATGGAGGACCTTGTAGTGCCAGACTGACACCTGTTTGAAAGGTGCTGGGAAGTAGTACAAATTTTTTTGTAGGGAGCTCTATCACCAGGGAAGTTCTCCAAGAAGCATAATTCAGTGGTAGGAGCAGATTAGCGGAGGAAGGATAGGAGGAGGTGGCAGGCTAGTTGGGATTCCACTGCAAGGGTCCACAGAGAGGTAGTGAGGACTAGATGATCATAGCAGGAATAGAAGAGCAAAAAGTCACTGGAGAGTTAGTGACCACCTGGCTGTGATGGGCCTGGGAAGTCAGAGCTCTCTGTCAAGCTTCGATGGCTGAGAAGATGATGGTGTTGTAAAAGCGGAAGGAGCAAGTGTGGGGAGGCAGATTTTCAGTTTCTAGTGGGTCATCCAAGCAGAAATGTCCAGAAAGCTATTGAGAGTTCCAAATCCAAAATCTACAGGTAGTAGAGTTTCAGGAGGACCTGGCTAGAGCAAAAGCACTGGAGTCCTGGGAGCGTCTGGCTCCAGGAATTGGAGCAGAGGCTGATCTGTTCCCTTATTAAGGAAGCGTGGGGCTGGGGGATGGGGTCTGATCTCAGAAACCAACAGCTTTCCCACTTCTCAGGTCTTGTCCATCTAATTTAACTTCCTCTGACAGTTTCCATGATCTGCCCTGCAAGATCCCACCTACCATAGCTGTCCCTGTGTCACCACACTCTCCTCCTGTGTTCCACCCAGCCATGCTGGCCTCAGACTCACCTAACTCCTTGCTCCTGGGATCTTTGTATTTTATTTCTATCTAGACTCTTTCTGCTGAAACTTTTTGTAGGATGGCTCCTTATCACCTAGGTCACAGCCCAAATGTCACCTCCTTGAAGTCATTCTCGTGACTCTATTTAAAGGGGTGGTATCCCATCTGTTCTAGGGGAACACCTGTTTTTTTCTTTAGATGATCTTTTTCTGTATTTCTATCCAACAGAATGCAAACTCTGTAAAAAGGGACTCTTGTCTGTTCCTTTACGTCTGTATTCCAAGTTCCTAATCCAGTTCCTGGATGATGTTGTCTGTTAAAGGAATGAGTAATGGGTGACTCCTGGAGCTCAGTTAAACTCCAGTGTACTTCCAGTTCTCCACTGTTCTTTTAAGCAGCCTCGAGGCTCTTCTGAACAGGAAAGGTGACATATGGAAAAATAGCCTAAACTTCTATCTAATTCTCACATCATCAAGAGATTAGATTCCATTGGGGCTGGGGATATAGCTCAGTTGGTAGAGTGCTTGCTTCAGATGCACAAGATCCTGGATTCAATCCCCAGCAATTAAATTCCAGTTCTAAGTTTGAGTCACTGTTATTGATTTCAGTTATTCATGGATTCCTGGGTACCATCAAAATGGTAGCTCAGTTGAGGGAGGCACATGGTTCAGTGGAGCATGCCTCTGTATTCCACTTACCATTTCTAGTATTCTGGGCTTTCAATAGAGAACATGAAGAACAGTAGCTAGAGTCTTTTGAGTGTCTTCCCCATCCCCAAAACTGGTCTAGGTATGACATACATGTTCACATATAAAATCCTTGTGGAGATTGTGAAACAGATATTAATCACATTTTCCAAGTGAGGAAACTGAGGCTCAGAGATGTCAATAAATGTGGTTGAGGTCACAGAACCAGTCACAAAGCCAGAATGCAAACCAAGATCTGTCACTCTCCAAATATGGACTTTTTCTACTACCCCCAAGTAGTTCACAGGGACACTCTGAGGCTTTGAGAGCACCTAATATGTGTGTGAAGAATCCAAAGACCAGTAACATGGAGCCCTCTCTTAAGTAGCTCACAGACTTGTAGCCTATTAGGAGTTCTAGGTGAGCTAGGCCAGGACAGTGAGCAGACACCCTAAGATTTGGGTGCTATAAATTTCTGCTACTGTTGATTAGACATCCAGCTAATACTCATCAACTTTAAGGTGGTTTGGAAGCTTCCCCTTTGACATACTAGCATAGAGGGTGAAGAGGGTTGTGGAGAACAGGCCCAAAATGCCATTATTTTCTCTCATCAGTAAAAAAGTGTGTTGAGAGTGACAGATCTGTCACACTCCCAAACCTGGCCTCCCTTCAGAGGCCATTGTGAAGCATCTGAAAAGCACATTACAAACTGTAAAGTGCTGTACAGAAAGTGATGACTTCTTCTTATAATAATAATAATAATAATAATAATAATAATAATAATTATTATTATTATTATTATTACTGGGGATTGAACTCAGGGACCTACAACCACTGAGCCACATCCCCAACCCTATTTTTTATTTTATTTAAAATACAGAGTCTCTGAGTTGCTTAGCACCTCACTTTTGCTGAAACTGGCTTTGAACTTGCAAGCCTCCTGCCTCCTCCAGAGCTGCTGGGATTACAGGTGTGCACCACCAGCCAGGCTGTGACTCATTGTTATTGAGAATAGAAACACAGAGTACACCTCCATAAGCTGGGTCCCTAGTGGTGCAAGCTTGTTAAATTTGAGCATGCTCGGTGGAGAGCCTTTCAGGGGCATGTGGCATGAATGTGGATCCTCAGCCCTTTTCTGGGTCCCCGGTGAGGACCTCACTCCAGAGTGCTGCACAACATGTTTCTGAAGAGATAAGAGCACTGGTAACTTGAGGCCTATTCACACATCTTAAAGCAAACTTAAAGTAGGGGTAAAAACAAAAATTGTTAACACAGCAATGTCCACCTTCACTCCTAATCAGGACAGGCTTCTGAGGCAGTGCACTGGGTTATCATTCAAGGTTCGTAACCCACTCAATCACAGCCATGGTCAGAGGGGCTTGAGAGGAAAAACTGCTAATGAGTCAGCCAAGCCAAGGTTTGCAGATCCATTGGCACTTAGGTATAACAATTGCACACTTCTGAAAAATGCTTGGGGTGGAGCAGAGGGAATATCAAACAAATGCTGGGTTCTCTCCTTGCACAGAACCTGTAAGTAGCCCTAATTGACATTGTTCCATAAATTAGATTTCTTCTAATGAATTCCTAATCTACAAGAATACTATTCTGAATGATCATTGTAAACTAAGCATTTACTTAAGAGATTTAAAGAGATTTAAATACATTAACCATAAATTCCACAATAATCCTATGAGAGGTTCTGTAATTCACTCTTTTCCACAGAGGAGGGCAGCCTAAGAAAGACTGTCTTGATCTACTGAGATAATTTTGTTATTTTGCTCAAAAGAGCCACCTAGGCTTTTCTAATGAACAACTGCACAGGGACAATTTGGTTTTGCACACAATACTACCCTGGAGAGGTGAGATCATTTATATAAGGGACATCTGTGTCTCACAATGCCTTACCTCTCCTTTGGATAGCCCCAGGACCACAAACCAAGAATCTCTTTTCCTTTCTTCTTTACTACTTCATCTCAAAAGTATACCAGTTTTAGCTGGGTGCAGTAGCACCCACCTGTAATCCCAGTGACTGGGGAGGCAGAAACAAGAGGATCACAAGTTCAAGGTCAGCTTGGACAACTTGGCAAGATCCTGTTTCAAAAACAGAAATATATTAAAAAAAAACAAACCAAAAAACAGAAAATTTAAAGTGTGTGTGTGCATGTGTGAGAATTTTTTGCAGTTTTTCATTCTGTTGTGAAAGGTTTATTCTTGTTTTATTCAAAAGTTATGGTGTTTTTATCTCCCCGTTTTTCAAGTGAGATGGTCATTTCCGGAAGATTTTCTATGTTTATCCTAAAGGACTTACATGCCCAGCCACCAGCTTCAGTTACATACAGACATGAGGTAGTGAGAGTGAGACCTGTAGTGCAGAGCTGTGGGTACATGTGGCTGGTGACGGATGGGCTCAGGACCCAGACAATCCTGAGCCCTGGTTCTGCTTCACCTGCACATGAATAGTTTATGCATCTTCTTAGCCTCTCAGAGTCCTCATCTGTAAAATGAGAATAATGTCATATGCTCAGGTTTAGGAAGTAAAGTCATGGTCATTGACCCTTTGGCCATCTCTGGCCTCCTGTGGACCTCCCTTCCTGGGTATCCTCAGAAAACTTGTTAAAGAAAGGTAGCTACCTTTAAATGCTACCAGAATTGTAAACTAGTGACTCCTGCTGTGGATGGCGCTATTCCTTGGATTATTAACCAGCAAGCAGCATCTTGTTGACCTGGCTAAAGTGGAGGCTGCCTTCTGGCCCCTTGGGGCTATTCCAGGCCCCGTTGCTTATCTTGCAGGGGTCTGCAATGTCGACCACCAGAACAAAGCTGGCTATACTGCCGTGATGATCACTCCCTTGGCTTCTGCGGAGACGGATGAAGACATGGCTGTTGTCTGGAAGCTCTTAAGAGAAGGAAATGTGAACATCCAAGCAACTCAGGTAGGTGGCGTGAAGGAGATCTCTCTCCTCTTTAATAGATATGGGAAACTTTCAAGTTTTAGTCTGCCAGTGAGGCAAGAAATTCCATACAGATTCATGGAGAATTTTTCACCCAAGAAGGCTGGGCCTCCAAAGCCTGAATATTTGCTTTTCTTTTTTTCTTTTTAATTTTTATTTGTTCTTTGTAGATAGACATGATAGTAGAGTGTATTTTCACATATTATAAATACACGGAGTATACTTATTCTAATTAGGATCCCATACTTGAGATTGTACATGATATGGGTCACATTTGTCATGTATTCATACATAAGTATAGGAAAGTGATGTCTGATTCATTCTTTTGTCTTTCCTATTCCCATTCCCCTCCCTTCCCTTTATTCTACTTTGTCTAATCCACCGAACTTCCATTTTCCCTTCCACCCTTGTTGTAAGTTAGCATCCACATATCAAAGACAACATCTGACCTTTGGTTCTCTGAGATTGGCTTATTCCACTTAACATGATAGTGTCCAGATTCATCCATTTACTGGCAAAGTCATAAAGTCATCTTTTTATGGCTGAGTAGTACCCCATTGTATATATATTCCACATTTTCTTTATTCATTCATCTGTTTAAGGGTACCTAGGTTAATTTCCATAGCTTAGGTATTGTTAATTGAGCTGCTATAAACATTGATGTGGCTGTGTCAGTGTAGTGTGCTGATTTTAAGTCCTTTGTGTATAAACCATGGAATGGGATATCTGGGTCAAATGGTGGTTCCATTCCAAGTTTTCTTACGAATCTCCATACTGCTTTCGACAGGTTGCACCGATTTGCAGTTCTACCAGCAATGTATGAATGTACATTATCCCCCAGATCCTTGCCAACATTTATTGTGACTTGTATTCTTGATAATTGCCATTCTGACTGGACTGAGATGGAATCCCAGTGTAGTTTTAATTTGCATTTCTCTAATTGCTAGAGGTGGAATATTTGGTTTCTTTAAAGGTTCCTGAGACCCAGACAGCCAGGGAATGGGTCAGTGAGCTTCTAAAGTTGAGCATATTCCACCTGAACTTGGCTTTTTGAACCAAACATTTCTACCATTAGCCTTTTGAGAAATAAAAAAAAAGCCCCATTGGCAGTCTACCTTGATCATGATCCACAGGCATCTAGCCAGTGAGGATGCTTTATGGAGGCCTAGTCCTTTAAGGAAGTTACCACCTCTGTCATTCCTCCTTTCTCCAGGGTCATCAGTTTCCAGCCTGGTGGACAGAATTGGCAGATAGCCAGGACATACAGGAACTGTTGTTGACCAGTCCCAGGAATGATAAGGATGCTCATTTCCCAGGCTTCAGCTTGGATCAAAGCATCATTATAGAGTTCTGTTGGTGAGTGAGCACTCTGCCTGGCACACTTCCACAGTCCTTGAAATAACCAGATCTCAAATACCCATGGCTGAGTGCAATGTCACACACTTGTAATTCCAGCAACTTGGACAGCTGAGGCAAGAGGATCTCAAGTTCAAGGCCAGCCTCAGCAATTTCATGAGGCTCTAAGGACTTAGCAAGACCCTGTCTCAAAATAAAACATAAAAAAAAGACTGGGGATGTGGCTCAGTGGTTAAGTGACCTTGAGTTCAATTCCTGGTAACAAAAAAAAAAAAAAAAAAGGAAAAAGGAAAAAAGACAATGAAAAGAAAACATCCCTGAGGGCCAGGTGCAGTGGCACACACCTGTAATCCCACCAGCTTGGGAAACTGAGGCATGAGGATTGTGAGTTCAAAGCCAGCCTCAGCAAAAGCTGAGGCCTAAGCAACTCAATGAAACTCTGTTTCTAAATACAAAAAAGAGCTGGGGATGCAGACCAGTGGTTGAGTGCCCCTGAGTTCAATCCCTGGTACCCAAAGAATAAAAAAGAAAAATAAAGAAAATTTCCCTGTCTTTCTTCCCTCTCCACCAACCAGTGTGATGACATTGTTTTGGGCATATAAATCATGTTGTGGTTCCCAGGAACAGTACTGTGGGTCAAGATGCTAAGAGTAATTTCTGCCAAGAGCCAAAAGGTCCCTACAACAAAGATAGTAGCCAAAGAGTCAGGACATTTGGGTCTACTAGGACACATGGGCCCACTAACTCACTGGGTACCTTTGCCTCTGGTAAGAACAATACTTGAAAGTCACCTCGGTGATTTCCTCCCCCTCCTTTTTTTTTTTTAATTTGTAAAATACCAAATAGTCTCCAACTTCATATTATTATTATCATCATCATCATTACTATTATTACCAGGGATTGAACTGAGGGGCATTCACCCCTGAGCCACATCCCTAGCCCTTTATTGTATATTAGTTAGAGACAGGATCTCACCCACTTGCTTAGGGCTTAGTTAAATTGCTGAAACTGGCTTTGAACTCACATCCTCCTGTCTCAGCCTCCTGAGCTGTTGGGATTACAGGCGTGTGCCAGGGGCACCCAGCCTCCAGCTTCATTATAATGCTCTCTGAGCCCATGACCTCCAATGTCAGGAACTCTATGCTCTTCTCAAGCAGCCTGTCTGTTACCCCAAGCAACTCTGATAAATGTGACCCAAAATCAGTGTTCTGAACTTCCCATAGAGTGAATAGGTAGAAGTTGTTTTAGGTTCACACCAAGAGAGATCTTGTGAGCAGCAAAGGTATTCAAGGCAATCAGAGCCTTGGGGTCTGGAATCCTCTTCTGGAGAACACAGGGCAGGTGTGTGGTCTTACCTAGCAGGACTTTGAGTTGGACAAGGTACTGCATAGAATAGTGGGGATCCCTCCAGAGGTCACTTGCCATGTTGACCACACAGGAATGAATAGTGTACATTTCACTCTCCTGTCCCCCTTTTTTAATATTTATTTTTCAGTTGTAGTTGGATACAATACCTTTGTTTTATTTATTTATTTTAATGTGGTTCTAAGGATCGAATCCAGGGACTCACACATGCTAGGCCAGCGCTCTACCACTGAGTCACAACCCCAGCCTCTTTCCTGTCCCTTTGGAGTGAACATAGATGATGGCATAACTGTCAAGAACTGTGAAGTATCTGAGATTTTATCCTTTTTTTTTTATACCAGAGATTGAACACAAGGATGCTTAACCACTAAGCCACATCCCAGCCCTTTCTTTTTCTTTTTCTTTTTTCTTTTTTAGTTGTAGGTAGACACAGTATCTTTATTTTATTTATTTATGTGATGCTGAGGATCAACCCCAGTGCCCCACATGTACAAGGCAAGTGCTCTACTACTGATCCACAACCCGAGCCCCTCCCCAGTCCTTTCTTATATTTTATTTTGAGACAGGATCTTGTGAAGTTGCTGAGGCTGACCTCAAATTTGAGATCCTCCTGTCTCAGCCTTTTATCTCTTATATTGGGCAATGTCTTAGAAGAAGATACCACCTCTATCTTCCAGGACTGTTTGCTATACAAACACCCTTAAAAACATCATCTAAACTGGGTGCACATGCCTGTCATCCCAGGAACTTAGGAGATTGAGTGTGGCTGGGGGATGACAATCTGAGCCAGCCTGGATAACTTGGTGAGAGGCTCAAAGTAAAATAAGGAAAAGGATTGGGATGCAGCTCAGTGGCAGAATGCTCCTGGGCTCATGGGTTCAATACCAGTACCATTAAAAAAAAGAAAAGAAAAAGAGAGACTAAACAGATAGTATTTGAAACTAGATATGGAGAAAGGCAAGAAACCCCATGCAAAACTGACTCAGCTCCACTGTTCCACACTCCCCCAATACAACTGCAGAGACCTAACCTGATGGCAAAGCCACTTTGGACACTTCATCCATCCAATAGCCATCCTCCTGATAGCCACACACAGATATTTGTAGATCACTTTCTGGTTTACAAAGTATTTTCACTCACCTACAACTCCTATTTCACAAGACTCCCTATAGCTATTTTCATTTTAAATAATATTTTTTCCCATAAATGTGAATTTTTCTCTAACCTGGCCTCTTCTAAGAGGGATGCTCAGCAGTGATCAAGGCCAACTTATTCTTTTTTCAGAGGAAACACCTGTGCTCTAGGAGAGAAAGGGAGTTGCCCCAGCTCCCCCAACAAGGGATGGGAATTCATAGCTGCAGCTGTCCCCTTGTGGCTACTATAAGACCTCTAATTATGAGGACAGGTGGAGAGGCCAGGTAAAATGGAATGGAGTTGGGAGTCTCCTAGGAATAAGTTACTATTTTTTCTTTGTATCTCCAGGGTCAGTGCAGAGCCTGGTGACCAGTAATACTCTGTAAATGACCACTGAATTAAAGTGTATTGAGCTAGACCAGAGAAACAGTGAGGGAAGAAGGAATCCTGCGTCAAGAAGAGGGGCAGATGGGAGGGCAAGCTGCAAATGCCATTTGGTTAACTGACAGTTGGGGAGAGGGGTCTGGATGGAAAATCATGGTTGGGTTCATCCATGAACAACCATTACCTTGGGGCTGAGTAAAACACACCAAAAATGTACACAGGCTTCTCTGGAAAGATGTGACTGGATTTCAGAGAAGTGGGGGACTAGGACGTTTAGTAATGCACACCACAAAATGAGCAATTACCATACACCATCTCCAACCCACATGAAGACCCTGACAGCTAACATATGCCCAGGGCTCACTACAAGTCCACCAGACCAAGAATGCTGGTCATTCCTGTATTCCCTGATCAGGGAGAGATATGGAGGATATCTTGCACACATTCATGTGGGTTGTAAGTGGCAGAGCCTGAATTTTTCTGATTCCAAGCCCTCTTTCTTTTTTCAAAGCCCCAGGGTGCTGAACAGGGCAGCAGAATGCACAGGGACTGCAGATTGGAGTTGTAATCAGCCAGCACAGCAGCAAACTCGTCCTTAGCACTTTTTAGACATGGTGTTCAGAGCCACAAGGAATATGAAAGGAAGGAAAACACAGTCTTTGCCTTATTCTTGCCATCTTACAAAGCCCAGTATCCCATCAGAGAGAAAGTGCTAACATGCCTGGAACTCAGGAGAACCACAGGGGCAAAATATAATAAATCCGTATAAGAGGACTATAGGAAAATATCGACATGTAAATAGTGTATACAAGGGAGATGGGTATGGGAAAGAGTAGAATGAATCAGACATAAGTTTCCTACGTTCAAATATGAATACACAACCAGTGTAACTCCACGTCATGTACAACCACAAGAATGGGAAGTCATACACCGTATATGTATAATATGTCAAAATAAGCTCTACTGCCATGAGAAACTAAAAAGAACCAATAAAAAATTTTAAATAGTATATACAAGAAAATCTATGGGAAATAAGAATTTGTCAGTTTTTAATCAAAAAAATTACCACCACACATTACTATATTTATATCCTTTATCTTATGTGATTCCCACAAAAGTCCTGTGAGATACACACAGAAAAGCCATTCATTTGTAAACAAAGTTAGAATTCAGGGAAGGCAGCGAGGCAGCCCAGGTTCCAAGCTGGTGGCTGGCAGAGCTGGAGATGGGACTCGCTTTCAGATTCTCTTGCTTTGTCCGCCAGTTATCACAGGGATGGCAGTGACTATGGATTAGAAAAACCACAGGGACGTGAGTGCTTATTGAAACAAAGGCTTTTGGGCATCATTAATCTAAAAAGACCAGAGGCGTGGAGCAGAAGAAGGCTTCCTGGGGAAGGCTGGGCCAGGGCAGTGATAGGAAGGCAGGCCTCTGAAGCACTCAACCTTCATCTCCCCCATGGCTCCACATGTATCAGTGCTCAGTGCTAGGTACTGTGGAACAGAGACAAAGATGACAGTCCCTGCCAACAACTGTACAGTCCTTTAGAGCAGGAGATTGACAAGCTGTGATGCCCAGTATGATGAATCCCACCTGGGTGGTGGTGGTGGGTTGGAAAGCCTTTAGAGCAGATGGAGTACATGACTAGCACCCTGGGGAAGTAGAATTCTGCCAGACAGAGAAGGAAACCCACGTTGTAAGGAATGGTCATTTTCTTGAGGAGTTCCTGTTGAGCACCCTGGCACCAACAGCAGCCTCACCATATCCCCATTGCCCTGTGTGCAGGAAGGCCAGACCGCCCGGATGCTGAAGGTCATCCACGACCAGGAAGACATGGTCCAAGCGCTACTGAGCTGCCAGGCAGATGTCAACCTGCAGGACCACGATGGATTGTGGGCTCTCATGATGGCCTGTCACCATGGCAATGCCAACCTGGTGTGCCTGCTCCTGGCCCACCCGGCCTGGGACAGCAGCCTGACTGATAAGGTGAGACTTATGATCAGTTAACAAGTAGGTTAGTGTTTAACTTATGGTCCTGAAAAGTGCCTCGTAGGCCAGCAGAATCCAAGGAACCATACAGTAGTAGAAAAAAAAAATCAACCTTACAAGGCTGTTGTAGATTTAATGAGGCAATACAGTGCTTGCAGCCTGACGGCTGGGAAACCCACAGCTCTGGACAACTGGATGAAGGAGCAAACTTTACAGAGTCATCTCTCGTAGTGAAATTGGAAATACCTCTCTGATATTGATCCACTCTGCAAACTGGCCCATTCCACTGAGCCAGCCTGTGAAGTAGCCCTGCTAGACCCAGGTTTCTTAAATAAAGGTCTCGGTAAGGTGAGGACATTGATGATGATAATGACGATGATGATGATGATGATGATGATGATGATGATGATAACTAACCTGTGCTAAAATCAATGACCTTCTGAGGTTGGTATAGCTGCCACCATTTTGCTAGAGGAAACTGAGGTCCCAAATGGTAAGGTACATGGGGTAAGGTACCCAAGATCACACAGCTGGTGGAACCCACCTACCTTGAACTCCTGAGCCCAACATCCAGCTCTCCCATCATCCTCATTGTTGTCCCACGGAAGCAGCATATCTCTAGGTCTCAGGTGAATCTTTGCATCTTTCAGAGAGCCTACTGCATATCAGCAAATGAATCATCAATTGAATAAGTGAACCCCAAACTTTAGAGACCACTCATCAGAAGCTACAGGAGGCACAGTTTCTGGAGTGCTCATGGGAACTAAACCTTTCCCACGCATCATTGCTCATCCTCTTCATGATCCAGCGAGGCAGGCACAGTGATCCTCACATTTGCTGATAGGGAAACAGGCCTAGAAATGTTCCCTCACATGCTCAAGCTACAGGGAGCCCATCCTAGAGCAGAGATCCCAGCTCCAGCCTGACTCTGGCATCCATTACCCTGGCATTCCAATCCCAGGGCTCAAGCAGACATCTTAGGATTTAACATCCTCAATTCAAGGGGAACAAAAGCCTGGAGAGGGGAGCCCTGCCCAGGGATAGCACCTTTTCCTGGTCCCATCTGAACTACCCAAGATTGATCCTTCAGCTTTCAAGCCGAGTCCCCTGCATCACACCAGACAGCAGGCTCCCTGTCCAGTGTCCCCGTGTCCTGCAAACCCCAGCTGTGCCCCAAAGTCATTTCTGAAATAATTAGGAAACACAGACCCTCTTGAAATTCACACAGGAACAGAGTGGGCTGCTAAGATATAAGCCCCTTTCCCAAATATCATGAGGTCAGAAGGTCTGGGTTCCCAAGCTCCCTGCCGGGGTGCCCTGGGGATGAGGGAGGCAGCCCTTAACCTAAATCATGGCTGTGTATCATAGACCCAGAGCCCTCTCAGAAGTGACCACCACTACTGCCCAGAAGAGGGCTGAGAGGGGAGAGCTGTGGGACCGGCAGGGTGAGTTTTGGGAGTTCCTGGTTAGCCCAGATAATCAAGAGGGAATGTGAGAGTTCTCCTGGGCCCCTTAACCTCTGTCACAGGTAAGAGAGATAAGTGGCCACTTTCTAGAGGTAGAAGATCCATGGGGTGGGGATGGGGGTGGGCATCTTTTGCTCTTTGGACACCTCAAGAGTGATTGTTAAAAGCACTGACTTTAAAACTCAAAGCCCAGGAGTTTGAATCTGGGTCCAGTGACTGTGCCTTGGGAAGGTCACCTACCCCTTCTGAGCCTCTGTGATGTTCATCTGTAAAATGGGTATAGCAGTATACTATGCCTAAGGCTGTAATGACTACGACCCTATACTGGACTTCTATGACGTATATTGTTGATGGTCATTGTGATGATTATGACTAATTGAATAGTGACACGAAAACCAAACAGCTGGCACATCAGTGAGTGAGAACCTCAGCATTGACAGGCAGTGTCCAGAGGGAATAGGGAGGGTGAAGGTTTGGAGTGGGGCAGGGGGTGTCACTCAGTGGAGGGAGACAGGCCTCTGAAGGAGAAGCCAGCTGGCTGCCACACTTTGTTTAGTACAGTGGTTCTCAGGTGGGGGTCATCTTGCCCCTTGGGGGATATTTGACAATGTCTGAAGCCATCTGTATGTGTCACCAGGAGTGCAGGAGTGTTCCTGGCATCTGATGGGCAGAGGCCAGGGGTGCTCTAAACATTGACGGTGCCCAGGGACAGCAGTGAAGTAAGAGTTATCTGGCCCCAAATGTCAATAGTGCCGCTGGTGAGAACCTGGGTTGGGCACGTACTGAAATCCAAGTGAGTTTAGACAGCCAACCCCCACCAAGTGCTGGATGGGGAGGTGCCAGGGCAGCTCTGAGGGCCAGGTCTGCTGCAGGGCAGGGCAGGGCAAGGCTCTAACCTGGAAGGAGGGACATTAGTGCCAGGTACAACATGGAGGCAGATATCTGCTTTAGCAGAGGTGGGTCAGGGTAGGAAAGCCAGACAGTGTGAGCAGCATGAAGATGGGTTCTAGACCCCCCCGCCCCCCCAGGGGCCAGTCACATGGCTCAGGCTTCCCTCAGGATTCACACCTGAATTGACACCCAGGTGACTTGGGTGAGCGCAGTGTCTCCATCCACAGAGTGAGACATTCCAGCGGAAGGCGCCTGGTGGGTACTGAGGCTTGTGCCTGCTGCTCTGCATTTACAGGAGAGGGCAGCCCTTCTGCTCCTGGAGTCTTTCCTGTGGGGGCTCTGAGGCCCAGCATCTCTCATCAACAGTAAACGTTTGCTCTCAACACAGTACTCCCGGCAGAGGCACAGGGCACATTCCCTGGGCTACTTGACATAGACCCCTCTGCCCCAGGCATGCCCCCTATCCAGCTCTCTCGCTGGATTTGGAGGCAGATAGGGTACAATGTATTTCTCCTTTCTTCCTCCTCTGTAGGCTGGCCACACCGCTCTGTCCATCGTTCTGCATTCACCTTCCCATGTGGAAATTGCAGGCCTTCTGCATGCCCACACAGAGCAGGCAGGTCCTTGGGGCTGTAGAGGCTGCAGAGGAACCAGCAGCCAGGAAGAAAAGGCTCCTTCTCTGCACTCCTCCCTGCCCTTGGAGAGGTCAGGGTCACAGCCTGAGGGTCGCCCCTCAAGAGAAGAAACTATGTCAAATATGCACATACATTCCTGTTGTGTAATTCTGCTCATTACGATGCTTTGTAGATTACACCTAAGGCCAAGCCCCAAGAACAACAAGGGTTTCAGAGTGGGGTGCAAGGTGCAGAGTGTGGGAGCATCAGCTTTGGCCCAAATCCCAAACATCTTCAGCCTTGAATTCCTTGTGACTCTGCCTTGGCAACACTGTGTGGCAGGCAGGCAGGAGCACATTCGCACATTAGAAAAGCAATACTTTTTACAAGAAATTTTAAAATGCATTGTCATTTTGTTTTTAATCAAATATATACATATATGTCCCACTGAATATGCATGTCTAGAGAGGATGGCAAGGAATTAAATCATTCTCAAGAGGACCTTCGGGAAATCACCATGAAGTCAGGTGAAAATGAGCAAGTCCCATTTGGGGCTTGACAGAGAAATCTTGAATTCAGACAAGGTGGGAAGAAGCATATTGGCATCATTGCCAACTATAACACTCTTGACCATTTCTGAGTCATCAAGTGGCTCCAATCTGCCCCTAGAAATGGAATTAATCAGGAAGTCCTAGTCAATGATGTGCATCACAGAGTGGCAGGGTCCAGTTCTATCAGCTATTCCCAGCCCACAGAAGAAACGAATCCAAGTGAGATCCTGGAGATGGATTATTGTCATTCAGAAGCCACCACGTTCATCCATAGCCTCACAGTAATCCCCAGTGCTATTCCTGTGAGCAAGCATCTGCTCTGAGGTGTCAGGGCTCCTAGCTGAAGAGCCCTTGAGCCATAGCTGCAGCAGGAGTGGGTGCACAGGGCAGGGTCCCCCGCACTGACCTCTCTCCACTGGACAATTCCTTCTTGAGAATTCCCTGTTCTCTAGCCCCACACATGCATGGTACATATTCAGTAGCTCACATAGATTATCTATGAATTGTTCTTTCTGAACACTTCTTATGCCAAAAAAAAAAAAAAAACCCCACAAATCTCCCCTTTATATAAAAAGAAAAGAGACATCCAGGTTGGTGAGCCTCCTGCTGAAAACGCAAATCATGAGTTTTTCTTGTGGCTGGAATGCTACCTTGCATGGCACTCATTGGGTGAGTCACAAAGCTTCCTGGGACCCCGGTTTCATCATCTCTAAAAGCAGAAATCATCCTACAACCTACCTCCTGGAGGTGCTTACAACAAACTGCTGATGGAAGTTTTGGAATCCAGTTTATAACCCATAAAGGCTGTCCTCAGAAATGGTGTGGAAAACTTCTTTATGCTATTGTGATTCAAGAGATACCAAGTCTCAGAGCAAGAGCATTCATGCGTGTTGATGCTGCTCAGAGGTGAAGAGGTTGGGGCAAATAATGAGGTGGAAAATTGCTTTAAATGGATTTATTTTGACCATAAAACATGTTGTTAGAGCAAAAAGCTACAATTATACATTCTCTGTCCCCGTGCTTTGCAAATTTTAATGTGCATATAAATCCTCTGGGACCTTGTTAGAAAGAAGTAAGTCTGGGGTGGGGACTGAGAGTCTGCATTTCTGATCAGTTTCCAGAGGATGCTGAGGCTATTGGGCTACATCCACAGTTCAGGTAGCAGGGCTCTGTCCTGTCTTTACTGTTTGTATATTAAAAGTGCTGCCTCTCATTCTTCTGTCTCAAAATTTATGTGCATTTCTCTGCTATTGATTCTTGGGAACTTGCAGTACAGGTCTATATTAGTTCATTTTTTTAATTTCTATAACAACATACCTGAGACAGCCTACTTATGAAGAAAAAGAGGTTTATTTTGCTTACAGTTTTGAAGGCTGTAACTCTAATCCTCATGGCCCAGGCTTTGGCAAGGGACCTAGGACAGATGATAGGAGCTCATGGAAGAGGAAGAATCACATCTCAAAACAGGAAGCTGGAGAGCTGGATAGTCTGAGTTCCAGCTTTTCTGACAGCCCCTCATAAAAGAACTAACCAGGGTCCCCCTAGAAATACCTCAATTCCTTTCTATGGCACATCCCCAATTGACCTAAAGACCACCCACTAGACCCCTCTTCTTCAAAGTTCCACACCTCCTCCCGGTTCACAGGGGAGTAAGGACTGCACAGTGCTGTGGGAACTGACTGCCAGAGGGAGTCAGGAAAGCTCCCAGAGGAGGTGGCTTTGGAGGAAGCCATAAGGGTGGATGGGAGCTAGCTAGAGCACTGGGGACAGAGCAGCAGACACTGTACTGGGCACGTGAAAAGGCGTGGCCTCGTGAGCAAGGAGAGAACTTCAGGATGACTCTAGTTGTATGGGAGAAGTACACAGAGTTGAGATTTGGGGGTGAAGTGGGGAGATGTGTCACGTGTTAATCTTAAGAATTAGGACTTGAGCCTGGAACTCCAGAAGTCTGCTTCACAGACCACTTGGAGAATGGAAGCTCTCAGAAAAATGCACATCTGTAATCCCAGTGACTCAAGTTCAAAGCCAACCTCAGCAACTTAGCAAGGCCCTAGGCAACTTAGTGAGATCCTGTCTCAAAAAAGTAAAAAGGGCTGGGAACAGGGCTCAGTGGTGAAACCTCTCTGGTTACAATTCCTGGTACAAAAAATAAAATAAAATAAAATAAAAAGGGTTGCAGGTGTAGCTTGGTGGTAGAGTAGCCTTGAGCTCAAGTCCAGTACAGGAAAAAAAAAAAAAAAAAGCAAATTGGTATGGGCAGTGGGAGCCAATGAAATTTCTGAATAGTGGGGCCATTTGATCAGATTGACTTCTTCTGATGATCACAGGGGGAGACTGGAAGCAAAGGGATCAGTTGGAAGGTTCCTATGAGACACTGGGTATAGAGCAATTTGGGTGGGGATGAACACAGAGCCCAGCAGGAAAGGAATCAGGAACTGGGGCATGCCAAGATGGGGTGACATACTGAATGGTGGAGAGGCATCAGAAATGGGTGACAGGAGAATGGTGGTACCACTGTCACCATATCTATGTTCTGTTCCTCCTTAGTAACACAACTCCCAAATTTTAGCTGGGCACCTAACCACCCAGGGGACAGACTCCATTTCCCAGTGCCCATTGAGTTTGGTGTGGCCAAGCAACTAAGTTCTGGCTAATGAGCTATTAGCAAGGTAAAGGGTGCAAACTTTGGCTCCTGAATTTAAAGTGAAGGGGACACATTTTCCCCCTCCCACTGGCTGGAATATGGTAACCAGAGCTTGATCCATGAAGATGAGGCCCACACCTGAGGGATGATGGAACAGCGAGTCAGAAGCAGCCTCGTCCCCATCCAATCTGCTCTGGACTACTCATTCCCTATTTGATATTTGAGCAAGGAATAATATTCTAACTTGTTTAAGACACAGTATATTTTGATCTCTGTTGAGTTGGACAAATGTCCTCAGCACCTTGTGGCAATCTGAAGGGTCTAATGTTATACCATAAGTGGACTTCATCATTGAAAAGCTTAGGAAAGCCTTTTGGAAGGAGCATCATGGCAAAGCTAGATACGGTGGATGTCTCCTTCTGGTACCATCCCCTGTTCATGCCCACAGTGGAAGCACTCAGCCCAAAGACCTGTAGAAAAGGGTCACCTGGCAGATGCCTGAATAGAAAATGGGTCCCCTAAAGTAGCCAGTAAACCAGTGAGTTTGAAATGACTTGGTATGGAAATCGATGCAAAGCCATTGAATTATCTGAGCTTTTTGAAAACAAAAACACGTAGAGTTTCAGGCAATAGTGGTGGATTATTGTCAGAGAGTGCAACCACAGAGTGCAAGAGACATGAGGACAGAAGCTGAATTTGCATGAGTAGAGGTCAAGACAAATTGAAGGTAGGAGCAAGAAGGAACTAGGAGTGGGCATCAGATCAAGAGCAAAGAATAAGCTTATGGAGGAGGCCTCCTGGACTACCTACCAAGTTCCCCTGGCCTGGAAACCTCCCTTCCTAGACCCATTCCTCATCCCAGGACTGTACCAGTAAGCTGCCACGTTCCTGCAAGAGAACTAACTTGGATCTGGCCCCAAAAAGACAGGTGCCACACACTACCTGTGCCAATCAAGAACTAGAAGCCGGGATTTAGAAGAGGGCTTCAGCCCCCTTCTGGTGTCCAGGTCTTAACATGTGGATCTCAGAAGCTACTGGTGCCAAGGTCAGCCATGTGGGCTGAGGGCCACAAGGAACTCTTCAGATGGAAAGACTGGGGCAGATGCTCAGATCAGAGCAGTGGTGAGAAACTACTTCCTGATGTGACCAGGGCAACCCTTGCTCCATGAAGACTCCAATGCATACCTCCCTTGCCTTCAGTAACTGCCCTAGGTGAGTGTCTTTCCCATGCCTCCTCTGGGTATGCAGCCTGCGGAAGCTAACCAAGGCCTTGTGTCTACTCAGATGTCTCAGTGGTTGGATCCCAGTTGGGCCACTTGGCCATTCAGGTTCTTGATCTAAAAATTGGGATGGCAGTTCCTCCTCTGTTCTTGCAAGCATTTAATTAGCTAGAGCACTCAGCACAGTGCTTGGCTCAGGGCAGAGCTCCACAGAGAGCTTTCCCTTCCCCTAGACCTGGCCATGTGCTTAGCAGCTTGGCTTCCCTGGGTCTGCCAGCCCCCCACATCTGAGGGCTTCACATCTGTGGATTCAACCAACTGTGAACTGAAAGATGTATTTCATGTGTACTAAACACATACAGGCTATTTTTCTTTTCATGAGTCCCTCTACAATACAGTAAAACTACTACTTACATAGCACTCACATTGTATTAGATATAAGTAATATAGACACATTCACTCCTGGATGAAAGGCCATGAATCTACCACACCACTCCTGTTCAGCCTAACTTCCATGTGGACACTTCCCTCTGATTAGCCCACAGGAAGGTCAAATGCAGCATATCCCAAACCAACATCAACAGCTCAACAAAGGGGGCCCCACTTAGAGGCCATCTGAGGATAGAGGCAGTATTGGAACGAAGCAGCCACCATGCAGGGGAAACCTGGAGCCAGAAGCTACTGGAAACAAATA